AAGAGCAGAGAGTATCAAGATGGTTTGGAGGAGGAAACATCAGAGAGACTCAGCCACATGTTTGAGCCTCAGTCAGACTCAGACTCAGATGAGGAGTCTGTTGAGACCAGAACCAGAGACTAGCAGACGGATCAGAACAGTTAGCGCAGTTAGCATCTTTTATTTGTTTTCATTTTTGTTAGCGTGTAACTGACAGTGGCTGACACAGTGTTAGCGGTTGTGCTAATGCTAACTCTCTCTCTCTCTGTACTGACGAGGTTTCAGGTTTGTTTAGCCCCGCCCCCCGTCCCCACAAGTTGACAGGATTGGTTTTTTTTGTTTGTGACACATGGTTAAACATAGGGGAGGGCGATATGACGATATTAGATCGTGAAGGATTACAACGTGAAGACGATCTTTCAAACTGCAGAGATCGTGGGATCGTCTAGGGCACATTCTATAAATTGCAGTTCTATGCTGATGCACCGACGCACCAGACGTATTGACGTCGTCAACCTGACCGACCTATCATAGCGAATTACGGGCAGTGACGCACTTTCCTACCCGCCTCCTTGTTTGTGTGTGTAGCGGTAGCACATGGAGAGCGATGGCTGAAAGCCAAACGGAGTCGGTCGCTAAAAAAAAAATTCCAGCTCCATTATATGGAATTGGTTTGGATTTTCCGCAACTGATCAAGCGCAAGCAAATGTAATCTGCAAAGTTTGCACAGAAACCGTTCGCACGTCGGGTGGTAACACTATCTGAGACCGAGTGAGAGTGGTGTGTTGTTGTTACCTTAAACTTTAACGTTGTTTGCACATGCAGGCAAAACTGCGACTATTTGAAATAAAATCTTGTTAAGAAAGGTTCTTCGGTCTAAATTGTCTGTTTTTTCTTTTTCAAAATTTAAGATCGTGATAAAATCGAATCGTGATTTTATTTAAAAAAAATCGTGATATGATATTTTTGCCATATCCCCACCCCTAGTTAAACACTTGATTTTCATTGGAGGTGATCTTTAAAACCACATGAATGAGTCACACTGTTGCACCTGGGCGACATGTTCCTTCATTGATCTCTCGTTTCCTCTCATGTTCTTTCCTTTATCTGTTCTTCTCTTCTCTTTGCACTTTAGCCAAAAGCTCTGGAGAAAGAAATCTGCTCATTTGTCCTTCAAGGCGAGTCTGCACACACTGAGCATGAAAACAAGTCTTCTGCTGTGTTAGAGTGTCAGTGTGTGTGAACGCAATTGCGTTTTTGTGTGTCTGCAGAAGGTGAGATAAAGAACGGTTAAAGGTTGGCGACCGCCGAGTTCATTTGTATTCATGGAAATAAGAGGAATCTGCGATGGCTGTTTCAATCGCAAGCGGAAAAGTGTTGAGATTTCATTTCAACTGTGTGAGTGACACGCCAGCTCCGTGTTCTCTCATTAATGTGTAATACAGACAAAATGGTACACAGGAAGTGAATGTATGATGTGTATCGCATACAAACACACACACCCACACACACACGCTGCATGATACTGTAGGTTACAGAAGAATATTTAATAGGCAGTTGCAGCCTCTGCACTCTAATTTCCTGAACTGTAGCAATATATCTGGATGTATAGATTTCTCTCTTCCGTCCTTTGTCTAGTGTAGCTGTGTTGTGTGTGTGTGTGTGCGTGTGTGTGTGTGTGTGTGTGAGTGTGGGTGTTTTTGTGTGTAGACCATCACTGGTGAAAGAAGAGTTCAGATGCTTTACTTAAAGAGCAAAACTGCTGTTTACAGTCTCTAGATTTTTAGCTAAAATTGAGTACTTTTCATGTTTGAAAAGTTTGCAGATTTTTGGTAAATTGATAAGATAAAATTTTCAGTACGTGGGCAGAATAAAAAGTGCATGAATTTCTACTAGTCGATGAGAGGAGTCTTATGCCGACCACATATTCGAAGACTTTGAAAAGACTAAAGTCGGACACCCTGTCAAATCTACAGGCAATGAGTCACAGAGTTTTAGTGAGTTTTCTCACACTATAAGATTTTATAAAGACTGGGGATCTTGCGTTTCACTATTTGCAAGAAGATTCCTTTGAGATTATTTCCCACCATGCTCCTGGTGGAAGTGTACAGACTTTTTTGCTCTTTGAAATTCCACATTATTATCATTATTATTATTATTATTATTATTATATAAAGTTAATAACTCAACACTATAATTGTCATGATTTCCCTAAAATGATGATTGCAAATGATTCTTTTCTTTGCATTATTTGAAACCTTTCAGTGCCAGACCTTTATCAGGCAAATCAAGCAGGACTCTGACGACTCGTGTCTTACGGCAACTCTTAGGGGACACACTACATCAGATATGGAAACAACCTATAAACAGTCTGTTACAGTAATTAAACACCTGTATGTCAGGCAGGCAATCCAAAGTGTCGATCCTTTCCAGAGGGTAAAGGTCGACATTCACACACTGCAGGCAAACATCGTTTATCGTTTGAATCATGGAAGTAGCCTAACGTTAGCCACTTAGCATGGCTGCTCGCTCTAACGTTCCCCTCGCTAATTGTTCTGACACGTTCAGAATCATTACAGCTTTTGCCAGTGCCATTAACAGGCGGCTCAGCCCTGGGCTCAAACTATTTTTCGATGCCTCCTGTATTTTATATATATATATATATAAATATAATATATATAACAAATCAAACTAATATCATAAACACCAGTCGAGTAATGGCTTCAACTAATGACTAGTCACTTACCAGTAGAACCAGCAGGCTGTGTTCAAACCCTCCTCCATTTCCCAAAGTGTTCGATGTCAGTTTAATTTACGATGAGGTTAGTTTCACCAGTCACAACCTCTAATGGAGTCTGAAGCATCGCTGCTGTTGCTATGGTTATCTGCAGTTAAAAACACTGTTAGCCGTGATGGAGAACAGTGGTTAAACTGTTGGTCAGAGCTCAAAGGGCCTGGTATATAATTTTTATGTATGACATCAACAACCTAATTAGGAATGTTTGTATATTTCATGATTTTATGGCTGTGATAAAAACACACGCACACACACACCCTCTGCCCAGTGCTTCACCCCCACTCTGGGCTCGGCCTCTTGACTCTCTGTTTGGCTGTGACACTTTGTTCTAGTTTGTTCTCGCAGTTGTTGGCCAATAAAAAGAGAGAGGCATGATGGGAGTTTACCAAATAAGACGAGTTCAGCCAAAGGCAAAAGCTTTGAGCAGAAATAACCTGAATTCTGCGCCAAAGGCTGGAGTCAAGGCTGGATCCTTCACACACACACACACACACACACACACACACACGCACACACACACACAGAGGAATTGAAACGTGTGACGAGCTGTTGTGTGCATACATACATGCAAATTGTCACAAGTGAAACGTAACACATGCATCATGCATGCACAAACACACGCCGGAGGTCAGAGGTCAGAGCGACAGGCTGCTTCATGCTTAATGCAGCAAAAACATCAGTCAAGATTCAAACACACATGCACAATACTGATGTGATGACGCACATGTTTTGTTGTATCTTTTGTATGTTTTTGTTCTGAGAACATTTTAGGGAGCGAAGGTATGTGAAGGGGAGTTCTTTGTCCAGTCCTCACACTGTATTCAGCTGTTTGAGGGTTTAGACTCGGTCTGAGAGTCCAGGTTCGACTAGAAACTAAGATGTGAGTAATGTCAGTGAGGGTCCTCACAAGTATTGAAGAGCAGATGCATGTGTATGTGGCCAATCCACCATGATGGACAATGTTCCTCTGATGTCATCACTTTGTGACCCCCCCCCCCCCCACACACACACACACACACACACACACAGGACGTGTTCATTGATCTAAGTGATGTAGAGTTTTTATTCCTGGAGGAATGATGCAAACGGAGCAACAGATCAATAAAGGCCACTCAGACGTCTCACATCAGCTACGGCTGCTGTATTATCAGGGGACACACACACACACACACACACACACACACACACCTGAACACACATTCATGAATGTACACACAGTCTATGGCACTAACAACCACACACACACTGAGTTTATCGCTTTATCTGATAATTAACTGGAAATTTATCGTGGTAAACTGGAAACTTAAAAAGTTGAGTAGAGGGAGCACCTGAACGCACCATTACTCTTAACTGGTGATGCTGATGGAGAGTTTTTAAGCCAATAAACCTTCTCTCATTTAAAGGACACACGTCCATAGAGCTGCGTTCAAAGAAAGAAGGTTAGAAACTATCTGTTTCGAGCAGACTGTGTTTATAGTGTTAAAATAATTCCAACAGACATAGGAACAAACTAATCTAACAAACACAACAAAATACAAAAGAGTAAGACTTGAAGAAATTTCAGAAACCCTGAACCGTTCTCTTAAAATGAGCAAAACTACAGACTGCACCAAAGGACTGAATGTACAATAAATGATAAGTATAGGAAAGAAACAAAAAACAAAAATTGTATTAAAAAGGTATTCTTGCATCTTTTCTAACTAAATTTAGAGACTCCGTCCTGGCAAACCCCCCTCTTGAACACAGACAGTTGGTTTCTTCCACTTCTGTAGGCAAATTAACTGTATTTCTATTTCTGTTGTTTTTGGAGGAATCGGATAGCCGCTTGATTTACTCACCTCAGACTGATGAGCATCCATGTTATTTGATTTACAATACATTTTTAAACAGAAGGACTGTTTTTGTCCCCCATTTCTTACAGTGCAGTTGTGTATGTCGCATGGAGGCGAAGTGATTACAGAACCTCTTTTAACCTACATCCGATGTGTGCATTGTATTAAAACAGACTTTTTTTTGTAATTAACAATGGTGTAAATTACTGAGACTCTGCAGCTCTACACAGCCTTTAGCCGGTTTAGCTTGTTGTTTTGGTTTTGCGGCACATTTCCTGTCTGGTCGAGTCTCACTGTGACAGAAGTCTATTCCATGTGAACCTGTGGCTCGTGCTCACAGGGACCATTAATAATGCATGAAGTCACTGAGACCCTATTGAACATAATGTCAGGCTGACGTTCAGCTTCAACAGTTGGCTGTTAATCAAACCAGCCACTGACTTGAACGATATGAACTTCAATGTTATTGGAATTCTATTTTTCTGCAGTGTGTCGAGGTAATAATGAGACACAGATTAGATGGAAAATAAATTTAATTAGTGACCTTATGAGAAATATGAGCTGATTATTGCCTCGGAGGAGAGAACATCTGGCTGAAATATTTCTCCTGACAACAAGGACTCAGAGTTTTTAACATGTGATTAGATTAGTTGTCTAGCAGAAACACGAGACATGAAAGTTGTGAAAATGTCATTTTTTATGTCCTATAGAAGGAGAGTTTCTGCTCACAGCTGCATTTCCATCCAGAAATAACTTCCCTTTCACCAAAAACTATAAATGTGACAAAACTACTTCCTGTGATGGATTACTCGCCTCTGCAAGTTGACTCATGTAGCATACTGGAGTGATCTGAGCGCAGTGCATGCTGGGAGGAAAATCAATCGAAAAACTTGCGGTATGATTTGGAAAAGGATCGGTGACTTAAATCGCACTTGGCTGAATCACACAGAATCACTGAGTCACAAAGGTCACAGATCTCTCACTGAGCTGGTTCGGTTTCTGGAAGGAGGGAAAACACCACAGCTGAAACATAGTCAACATAGTGACAAAATGGATTAGCACAACATATGTCTGTCTGTCTGTGGCCAACTTGCAAGATACAATCACAAAATTTCACAGGTGTCCAGTTAAGACCAAAATGAAGGCAGGGTTTGAAGATGGGTGCGGTCCGACCCGGAACGTTGACGTGTTGACGGGCGTTGCAGCTCTAGTTGATTTTTAATTTTAATGTAGGAGAAAAAAAAATGTGTTAATATATTGTTTTTATATGTTTGTTTAAGTTTGTTTGCCTCTGTCCTTGGCTCATTCATTGCTTCCTTTTTATTTTTTTAGTTACTTGTGGGGTTCTGCTCATACTTCCATCGCAGAATGCCAGAGGTCACTAGTAGCCAGATCTGGACCAACCTATAAACTATTGAGAATTTTAACCTTTCCTTGAAGAAATTTTGTCTACCTGGATTTTTTAAAATTTAGATTTACATTGAATACCCCTGCCGTGTGCTGTTCCTTTGGATTCTCTAGCATTTAGCAGGTATGTCCTTTTTGTGGCACATACCACAAACACCTGTGCACACCTTCAAACGTCCACAATTATGTCATTGTGTCACAGTCCCCAGTCTGTTGCAGTGCGTTGAGGTCTCTGGTCCACTGCACCAGACCCAGAGCAGCTCCTTGTTGATAACTAGTTCATTGGTCTGTGGGAACCCCAAACATAACCAGCTTTTCATGCTGGTCGCTGCATGTAGCGTATAAAGCATAGTGTTGTCTACGTCTCCTTAAATGTGGACTGATGTGTGTTGTTTTTCTTTTCGCTAGAAGCGGTGAACAAAGACAAACTACAGAAGTGATTTCCAAAGTCAAGGCAGTGAAGGCTGAAATAAAAACACGCATCAACATATTCCGGCACAAATGGAAACTCACATTCCAGTGGAAAAGGCCCAGAAGACATAATGTGCATTTGAGATGCATATTGAGTGTGGCCGTGTTAATGCTGGAGTATATGTGGTCACAAAGCAAGACAAATGACTTGTATTTGTTTGTGGTGAGAGCCGGTGGAGCCGGTGTCTCACTGTTTGTGCTTCGTGAATGTAAATCAGTGTTTTTACATCCACAGACTTTTTACGTTGAAAGTTAAATTTCCAGACAAAGGCAGTGTCCATGTTCGCACGCCTACATGTGTATGCATGTATGCTAATGTATGTATATGTGTGTGTGTGTGTGTGTGTGCGTGTGAGTGTGAGAGTGCAGCCAGACTGCATGAGCGTGCTCTGGCCTTGTGGGCCTGGTTGTCTGTCCGGGGACCCCTGGGGAACACAGGCGGGTGTTTCCTCAACCAGGAGGCTGTCATGGGAGATTGGCCAGGATGAGATGGAGGATCAAGGTTTCACTGGGCTTTTTACGGAGGCTTAGCCACTAATATCACCACTGCGGAGAGCCTTATCCTGCACGCTGTTTAAGATTCAACACACACGAGGAAGAAACATCAGGCGCAGATGAAAAAGCAAAGACATTTTGTTTTAAAGGTGGACAGTTTTCATGTAAACAGATTTTTACTAATGATCGGGACTTTGTTTCTGACAGACTTTGATTTGTGTAAACTGGCTATTTAAGTGTTGACCTGCTGAACCTTCATTGCTGGTTTTGCATGGGTTAACACACATGTGCAGCCAAGAAGTAGATTTAAAACCGCCTCTACATTGTTTGCTAAACTGCAGGGTGGGGCTGCTCCATTACGGCAAAAATCATAATCACGACTTTTTTTTTTTTATCAATATTGAGATCAAGATTATTTAACATGATTAGTCATTGACTTTGGAAACACCACACTGTGATTGAACTTTAAAAAAAAAAACCTTTGTACTTTTAACAGCAGACTTTCTTACTAACTTTAAATTCAATGCTATGAAAAAACAAAAAAGAGGGGTTGTTGCGAAAAAGAATGCGGCACAATAATCGTTTTATCTCAGTTATCTTTTCATAATCGTTGGCAGACAAAATTGTGATTGAAAAACTGCAGGGGCACAGTAAAATGTGCCAAAATAAAAGCATAGAGCAAGAAAGTCTGACATGTCAAAGTACTTCCTGCAGCGTTGTGCTTCAAAAAGCTGCAGGATTGGCTCATAGAGGACAGCAGAGTAAACAGCAAACATGCAACATGAGTATGACACCATGGATCATACTCACATTTGAGTAAGATGCCTCTGTTTGGTGTTTTCTTGCCACAAAAATCCTTGACTGCTACTGAGCTGAAAGGAAGAAGGGATGTTAAGGAACAGAACAGAACAAAGGAACAAAGAGGAGAGAGAGAGCAGTAGCAAGAGATGGAGAAACCAGAGAGAAGGGCAATCATGAGGAGGAAGAGGAGGAAAAGAATTATATGAGCAGCGGTGGAGAGGAGATTGTCATTTCAAGCCTTCACATTGGTAACAGGATACAGCAGTCACGCTCCAGCAGCCTGCAGGTCACCTCATCTCTCCCTCTCTATCTGTTTTTCTGCCTCTACCTGTCCATCTGTCTCATGTTGTGGCAGAACAGGAAAAAGGTCTGGAGGTCCGCCTACAGCAGAAAAAAAAAAAAGTACAAATGGAAAAAAAAAACACAAGAAATCCAGAGAGTCGGCGTTTGTTCGTTCAGCAAATCACAACAGGGGCTAAAGCAGGGGGGAGACGATCGTCTCACTGGGATTCAGTGAACTCATGTCTGGGTTTGACTTTGCGGCCACATGGGACACGCGCACACAGGAAACACTGATCAACCCAGGACCAGACCATATCAATTCAATAATATTCTCTTCTTTTCCCTTCCAAAAATGTTTAAATAATAATAGCAGAGAGTCTTATTTCAGTTTCAACTTTTAATTTGTCGTTTAACTTATAAATCCCTTTAAATTGTTTCTGTTTATCCTGTTGCAAAGCGACAAGATCGGTCCAGAACCAACAGTGTTGCCAGATCTGATTACAGTGTGTATCTGAGACACAGACAGGTCTCAAGTTAATTTTCCCTTGATTTTTCCTTCTGAAAAATAGCAATCAAAAAATGCCACACACTGTCTGACTTCCAACATATTTTAATGCAACGTTTCGGTCCTAGACCCTTATCAGGCAAACGGTCCGAAACAAGGACCGAAATGTTGCATTGAATTCTTTGTTGCAAGTCAGTGTGCAGGACTTTTTCATTGCCACCTTGGATCCACTCATCCTGTTCCTATTCACCTGTCTCACAAAATAGATGTACGAAGTTTTCTCCTGCTCCGCCTGAAAAAGAGTGTTGGAAAGATTTGTGGCTTGTGAAAATGTGTTGAGTGAATCGGCTCAGGACCGCAGGTCTCCTAAAGGGGCGGAGCAGTGTTGAAGCCCATGTGACACAGATACAGGAAATGATTCAGAGTCTCCCTTCTTAACTGTCTCCGTTCAATCTTTGACTACATGCAGTTCAACTGAGTTAAAACTCCATATTTTCCTCCTTGCCAACATTTCCGGTCCTTGTTTCGGGAACGTTTGCCTGATAAAGGGTCTAGGAACTGAAACGTTGCGAGTTAAAATATGTTGAGGAAGTCAGACAGTGATGTGGGCAAGTTTTTGATTACTAGGTGTTTTCAGAAGGGAAAAATGCAAGGGAAAAATTAGACTTGAGACCTGTCTGTGTGTCTTCAGATACCACAACGTAATACAGGATTGGCGAAACTGTGGTTCTGGACCGGATCTTGTCGCTTTGCTGAACAGATACAACAGAACACAGATTTAAAAGGGATTTAATAAGTTAGAACGACAAATAAGAAAGTTGAACGTGATAGAGAAACTCTCTGCTATTAATTATTTAAGAGCATTTGTTGGAAGGGAAAAGAAGTAGAATATTATTGCAATTGTTAGGATCCTGGGTTCTTAGATCAGTGGTTTCCTGTTTGTGCGTCGCGTGTCCCA